CCATAGTGCGGCTACAACCGTAGTACGGTTGATGGGTGTGAAAGCATCTTGGGCTGCATGACAGATCCCAGGCGCTGGAAAGTGCTGGCGGTACGATTGGCACGGCTGGGAAACTCAGGCAAGTACGTTAGCTAGTCGTGCTCACATTTTAGGGCCCGGGTAACGCACCCAAGGGTTGAGACGGGGTCGGAACCTAGGGTAACGAAGAAAAGTACTTAGGCTGGGACTGCCCGTACAATAAGGCATGGGTGGCGCACCCAGGAGCAATGTACTACGGTGTTGTGTGAGGTTGGCGTGGCCTTTTTGGGTATGAGTCAGACGGAGACCATGTTGGTGCCGCACCCAGCGGCCGGACTATTTACGGACGTGCGGCTTCGCTTGTTAAACGAACATGCTTGTTTCGGGCCCACACTTGCGTTGTCGTTGTGCATACATGGGGATCGTGCCCCGTTCGCTGCGTACATGCCGCACTGACAGTCGCCTGTTGTGGGTGCATCTTCGCCGCCGAGTTCAGCTCAATCGGGCGGGCGTTCATTTTCGTGTGTGGCTGGCTCATTGCCGGAAGATTCGCTATTTGGACGCCGTTCCTGCGGTGGAGGCTCGACGCCACACTTGGCGCGGGGATGGCGACTTGGTCGTTAAGTGGTGCGGGGGTGTTGGGGTGTTCCGCTGGTGGGTGGATGGGTGTCTGAGGGGTTGGATTATGTACCCCCTTCCTTGCCCATGGCCGGGCAGCTTGGTAGGGCGACGGGACATCCTGTCCCGTCAGAGTTGCCCGTCGCGATCCCGATTCAGTCGTCGTCGATGCCGTCCACGCTTCGACACCCCATACAGACCTTGGGCACGGAGACGTGACGGAGACGAGAGGGAGACGGAGACGGAAATGTTGTACGCACCCTAAACCCCTGAATCCTGACCGCCGTCGTCTCCGTCAGAATGAAATTAGTCGTTCTGTCTTTTTCGTGTGGATCCCATCTTGTTTCGGACACCCTAAACCCTAAACAACCACTGACCCACTGACCAGCGTTGGTCTTGTCAGCGGAAGAAGACGGGATCCGCACCGAAAAGACAGAGGAGCTTATATTCTCGTCTCCGTCTCCGTCTCCGTCTCCGCCTCCGCCTCCGCCTCCGCCTCCGCCTCCGCCTCCGTCTCCGCCTCCGTCTCCGCCTCCGTCTCCGCCTCCGTCTCCGCCTCCGTCTCCGCCTCCGTCTCCGCCTCCGTCTCCGCCTCCGTCTCCGCCTCCGTCTCCGCCTCCGTCTCCGCCTCCGTCCTCGTGGTCCATCTCCGGAACACTGCGGGTGCTGAAAGGCGGGTGTCTGGGGGTTGGAACGCGGCTCCTTGAGATCACTATTCCCTCAATGCCCGAGCAGTCGGCTTGCATCGGCGGAACGATGGTTTTGTGCGCCGTGGGCCGCCGCGGCCTAAAGCGGGACGCTGACTTGGCGGGCGACGTGCAAAGTTTCTGTTTTGAGGGCCGGCATCAGTGCGGTGGACTTCCCGAGATTCCGAGTCGAGACTCCCCGCGGCGCCAACCGATGGGCCTCAGGTGAGCGCTGCATCCTGCCTTCACGACCTTGCACGACTTCATAACTTAATCACGTTCATGACCTTCACGACTCAACGTCCGGAAATGAAGGGTATCGGGCACCTGTGGGATGTGCCTGGGCCGGGCGTGGGACGATCGCGCAAAGGTAAAATGTAGCATGGCTTCGTTCCAGAACGAACGATGTTTCCTGCAAGACAACACCACGTATGTGTTGACAGAATTCAGCCCTGGTTGTGTTGTTGCCCTTCAGTCAGTGCGGGACGCATTTTCGATCCACGGTGGCTGGCTATGTGGCACAACATCATGGACAGTCCGAATGGCAGCTAGGCATCAGTGACACATGAAAGGCACGCTGAAGATCTGAACTACAGGCTACATGAAGCGCAGACACGGAGATATGACATCCAAAGTTGCGGGCAAAACACACTGGATGAATGGAGCATTCAGCGGCCTGGAAAATGGAGAGTGACAGCCACAGGGCTCAAGGAATTTGAAGATAATTGAGCCAGTGCAGCAGTTGTGCTGCACAGAAGCATCATGAGTGGCTGGGGCTTTATGGTGTCCATCAGTTCTGTAAAAGGGGAAATGTGCTTCCAGAAGGCTTGCTAAACTGATACAAAATTAAACGAACTAGGCAGCAGCCTGAGAAAAAGAATGGGTGGGAAACTGAGCTCGGCCTCAAAAGGACACAACCACTGGCAACCGCTTCCAGGACTTGCCATTCCTTCATTGAGCATCTGTCGGGCATATTTATGGGCTGCTTGAGAGCAGGTCGTAAACCAGAGAAGGACAGGAGTCTCAAAAGTTTGTCATTAAGGAATGAGCTGCTTTCGATTGCGAGCAAGTGAGAATGAGCAAATCACCAATGCAGCAAATTATCTGCATCCCATTGTAATGGGCGAGCTGGGTTCACAGAGCAACGGAATGGCAAGGGTAACGTTGGTTTGTGCGGAGTATAGCGCAATTCGTTGATTTGCTGGGTGGATTGCGTATGGAGTGCATGTGGTCGTGGCAGGCCTCTAGCTACTGGATGTGCGTATAGACACATACAGCGGACGTGTGCATTGTCCATTAAGGCACTTGACAATGCCAAGGTGACATTCCTCCGTAGCTTGAAAGCTGAGTGAAGCCTTGAAACAGGTCTAGACCGGTCGTGGTTGGGTTAAGCCTTTCGATGCCAGACGTGGGAACTGTGCCTGTTGACCACGGTCCTACCGCGGCTCTAACATTCATCAGGCATTGACGTTTGCTGTAGCCAGACACGACTCTTGGTGGGAACATCGAATAGGAACGCGCCACAGATACGCTTGTGACCTTTTAATGACCAGCAGCCTGTCGCCTGTAGCCAAATGCTTGAGCGCAGCACCGTGCCAGTGGCAGGCGCGGTGGGTGAATGTGGGAAACTGCAAACAAGGCGACATCTGGAGAGAAGCCGCGCTATTACCAACAAGGCTGCAAAGGGGCGACAAGGCAGCAGGGTGCCCAACTTGCAAGCCTGGGCCTCGCAGGGAGGGAACCTGGTGTCCGTGTTCCGCTGTACGAAGGCATCATTAAGGACGGCGAATACATGGTCGTCCAGGCCCCCCCTGTGACGTTCATCGTTGGATGATTGGTTGAAACTGTATAGCGCTGTTCGGTGGGTATATCGTAGGCATTTGCCCACGACCGGTGGACTCTTCGTTGATCACCTCAAGTTGTGCAATGAAGCTCAATGCGGATGCGGCTCGAGTGGATGGGGAAGAAGTAAACGGAAAGCAATAAACGCGGAGCAGGTTGTATTGCGACCGGTTACACCGTTGTTTGGTAATTCCTGTGTGCGTGGTACTAAATATTGGATGGCACCGATTACGTCTGTATCGCCACCGGCAAATTACCAGAACGGTTTTCTCAGCGAGTTGCGCGCATGGTTCTCATTACCTCAATTTTAAATATGTCACAACTTCCACGTTAAGTTAGACTTGTGGTTGAGATCGCATGGCAAATGGGGATGTCTCAGAGCTCGACGCCTGAAAGCAACGCTAAGTTGAGCTATTCTCCAAGTTTAATCCTTTCCCCCAGGAACGATATATTTTCTCTCTGGCAGTTTGAGCGGATACAATGTCAGAATGACGGCCTGAATTGGAAACTTGCCAGTATCTCTCAGGTTACAAAGCAACGTCCCCAAATCACACCAGCTAGAACTACCCAATTTTCTCCACATGGTCCACCATGTGACCCGTTGCATAACGATACAGGTACTAGCCGTAGCTGCAACTGAGGCACATACACGCTGCAGGCAAGCTCGAAATCTATTCGCTACCTAAGACTTCCATCACCTCTTCCATGTCCGGTCTTGCATCAGGATTGGGGTCCAGGCACCTTTGGATCAGGTCCCTCAGGTCCTCTGGACAGGCATCGGGAATCGCGCAGGGCAGGTCGCCGTCCAATTTGGCCTTCAGCCCACGGTAACCTTCGTACAGATAGGGCTCGCTGTTTGCCACGACCTCGGTCAGCACCATTCCAAAACTGTAGACGTCGCTCGCAGGGCTGCTTCGCTTGCCGTCAAACAGCTCAGGGGCTTGGTACACCACAGTTCCAGGCTGAAACTTCTGGGTTGTCCGTCTCCTCCACTCCCTTGTTTGCCCGACAGCCACGGCCAGGTCGCTTAACTTGACAATTGGGCAGTCGTCCTCGCCACCAGGGAAGACAAGGATGTTGTGTGGTTTCACATCGCGATGGACCACACCATGTTTATGCAAATGGTTCAGCCCTTTTGCGGCCTGAAACAACGCTTTCCGTTTCAGCAGCCAGGCTTCAAGGCCCTGCCGTTTATACCAGTTTGCCAGGTCTTCAGTTGCCAGTTCCATGACCAGAAAGGGTGTGGAATCGATCCAGCTGCTGTCTGCCAAGCCGCCGATGGCCAGCATGCGCACAACATGTTGATGTTCCAATTCTGCAGTTAGCGCGGCTTCTGCCCAAAGCTCTGCTAACAGTCCAGAACTCGTTGAGTCCCTTAGCACTTTCAAAGCTACTTCCCTGCCATTCCATCTGGTCCTGTAGACTGTGTGTTGACCATCATGTGTAATAGCCATCTTTCCTTCCCAGTCCACGTCAGTCATGCTTATCCGTCGCACATCCCTGACTTGCTTCTCAAGCCGTGACCTCGCAGTTGCCCACTCCTCCGCGAATCGTTTATCCTCAACAACGTCGCAATCCAAGACCCCAACCACAAACCCGAGGTGTTGCTCCAAGAACTTCCTATCCTCCTGTGCAATGTAGTTGGGAACACTTTTGTGCATGTCAGCTGGGCTGTCCCTCCCAAACCGGTCAATCGACTTCAGAATGTATGTGCAGTAGTTGTTAACCAAGTACACTGTTTCCTCCACCGTGTAGTAGTTACGCAGGTTGAATTCTCGTGTGTGCGTAAACACGAGCTCCTTTCCATCCTTCATGGCCCGGACCAGGTCGTTCCATTCATTTGGACTCGTTGGAATCTCGTCCATGCTCTTTGCCTTTGTCATGCAAGAGTACAAAAAGCCCAGCGTTTGCACGTTGTATCTGATATACGGCAGCATTTTGCCAACTTCGTCGATCATTGCGTGCAGCTTCTGCACAGAGTCCACCTGGATAGCAAATGACCTTCATCAGCAAACGAATCCCATTAACTCCTGCAGGCCTCATGCATTGTCACTATACCAGCAGTGCCGACCTACCGTCTAGGTAAGTCTAGGTAACTCTTCTATGGGAGAAGACTGCACATTGGGTGTGGGAGAAGACTGCGCGTTGGGTGTGGGAGAAGACTGCACGCTGGGTGTGGGAGAAGACTGCACGCTGGGTGTGGGAGAAGACTGCACGTTGGGTGTGAAAGGTGAAATGCACAATCTGTTTGGTTACTGGATTGTACACTTTCCCCTTCCCCACACACATTTCTGCAGCAGTCAGGATGTGTGGGTTGGTTCGGATTCCATCTTCGTCGATGCTGGGGGCTCCTTTCCAACACCAAACATCCCTCTATGGGACTAAAAGCCACAAATGGGTGTTTGAAGTTGCGGACAGTTCCCAGGCCCCACACTGCAATGGCACGCCATATGGTGAACAGCAGACACTCCATGCAAAGAGAAGATGGCCAACATGGAGGTGCATCTCTAAAACCATGTTGAGAGTAGATAACAGCTTCCACAACGACTGTGCTGTTAGTGCAGTACAAAAGTCCAACTGCCTCAAAATATACATCAGTGACAAACTTGCCCGCTATTTGTTGAGGGTGGATTCAGTGCAGACAACACCATACATTCACGGTCACCTGCAGGCTAACATGTTGTCTGGTGTTGATGACAGCTGTCGTCCAGCATTTCTAACATCATGCCACATAGCATCTGTGTGGTGTATGCATATATGTGCAAAATAGTTCATTCAATTCTTTGCCAAGAGAACAACAAAACATCTTGAGCTCATCTCAATGTGCCAACAAAAACTGCTTCAATCATGCATTCTCTGTCAGCAGTGAAGCAAAACACTCCTACTATACTTAAGAAATGGCCAATTTTGGGAAGAATGCTCAACTTCAGCATATTGCCTTGTAAGGAGGCAAGCAGCAATTACAACACAACTGAGGGTCTTCAAGGTTCACCAACATGGTCAGCTGCTGCAACACCTCTGCCATCGATGATGGCCTGTCAGCAGGATCGACAGCACAGCACTGAGACATCAGCTCCAGCAGCTTAAGGGGATGATTGTAAGGAGAAATATAAAAAGGAGGTTCACCATTTCTCTTCATCCGCATCACTTGTGCATCTGTGGTGCCCCTGCCATAGGGCAAGGTCTCCCCTATCATTTCGTACATCACGATGCCGAAACTGTATATGTCACTCTTCGTGTCACACGGCTTCTCCTCAAAGATTTCAGGGGCAGCAAACGTGATCTTGCCATGCTTCCTCACAGTGTTCTTCCCTGTGATGTTGCCGGTGGACGCCTTGCCAAGCCCTACCAACTTCACCTCGGGCAGGCCGTAGCCAAACACAACAAACTTCTTGGTGCGGATGTCACGGTGCACAAGCCCCGCGTAGTGGACATCACTCAAGCTTTGTGCCGCGTCACGCAGCAGCCTAAGCTTCAACTTCAGCCCCCCCGACCTGTGCTGCCAGAACCATGTCATGATGTCCATCTCCCCTTTTTCCATCACAAGCTTTCCTGAACGAGTCACAGCAAACAGGCGGGCAACGGATGGCGAACGTATAAGCTCCATCACCGCTGCCTCACTATAGAACCTCGCGAATGCAACGTTGTCCATTCGATTGCCACTCTTCACTGCATGCTCCCTGCCCCTGTAAGTTGCCACATACACAGAACCAGACAATTGATGCTGTGGTGGCCCGATATCTGTGTCCATTACAATCTTTAGACTCCGTAACCGGTTGTTGTGCTCTTGTTTTGCCTGCTCCCACTCTTTCTGAATATCAGCAGGCATACCTTCGAAGATCGATTCCTCTTCTGTACCCAGAATGCAGCCAAGATACCTATCCAGGGTCTTCTCATCTTCCTCCACTGCATCTTGTGGCACCCTGTCCAGGATCTCCACACCCTCCACATTCCACCATTCTATGCACGCCTTCAGGATTTTGCAGATCGCCTGTGTAACCTCTCGTGCCTCAGTGGCAGTGTAGAAATTTACCAAGTCAAACTTCTTGGCATGTCGACCAATCAACGCCCCACCAAGGTTCAATGCATGTTCAAATTCTTTGTTGCAAGAGGCGGGACTTTCCTCATCTTCTGGTCTGTCGTCGATTTTCACCACCTTGGTATAGTGGCCGGGTAACACAGCTTTCTTGGCCTCTGTCATCTGCCTCTGTAGGAATTCCATGCAGTTCCGATTGTACCTAAAGTACTGCTGTCCAGCACAGAAAATGAACTCAGGTTGTGAAAAATACCTTGAAAGCTTAAGAATGAGCAACAGATATCATTTTGAGAGGTATATCATTCTAAGAAGATCCGATGAGTGTGCTCTCACCATGGAAGAGTCAACAGTGCCCTGATCTCCATCGCCAGTGCTCGCTCTTTGAGGCTCTGGGGTTGACGCTGAGTGGCGATCATATTCTGCCGACACATCGACTGGAAAACCGAACTTCGACATCAGGTCACTGTAGAGAGCAGAAATGCCTGTTTCCATTGTGCTGTATGAGGATCCAGGTGTCCCGCTTCCTTGTAGGGGTGCGTGCAGGACTAACTGCAATGCTGCATGAAGACCACAGAAAGGAAAGCTCAGCAGGTATCAACGTATCAATACGATAGATCTCTGGCTGGCATGTGCCCTTGAAGTGCAGTGTGACTGAACTTTTGGCATGGAACTGCAATGGTGCCGGTGATGAATTCCTTAAATACATAGCGTTCACTGAACCCGACTCCACGATGAACACATGCATGCTTGCATCCGTGCCCATTGGGGGCACAGAAGGGTTAGCATGCCAGGAACAACTGAGACAAATGCACAACAAAGACAAACAACGGCTACAACTCCCAGCTGACACCTGAGGGATACCGCAATTCAGTTCACAATATCATGACATCATAGGCACCTTGGCCTTCAGCTTCAAACTGTCATGCAATCGGAATTTCAGTCAATTGACAACATCATGCAGATGCGAAAGGCTTGCTTCTTGGTGAATGCTCACACTGAATGGCTTCGCTGATGCCCACTTGCACTCTCTCTAGATCACAGGATATGTCCTCAGAGGCATCACTCAGTGACAGCGAGCCCCTCTCCTTCAGGACCTTCATTGCCACCTCTGTGCTGCACAGCCGGTTGTGCATTTCCTCCAGTGCCCCCTTGCAACCTCCCAGCTCGTTCTGCGAACTGCGTTTCTGGACCTCCCACAGTGCCTCTGTGAGCGCCACAGTGTGCATCAGCAGTCCCTCCCTTGCTTCGTGGGTGATCTCTGAGGATTCAAAAGTTCTTCGCAAATCTTGCAGCAGGATGAGCGTGAGGGAGATGTTCATCCTGCAGCACCACATGCAGGCAGCATCATAACATTCTAGTACACTGGCACCACAGGAACGTACCGTTGCTCACTTCCACCCACGAGTGACTAAACATGTGGGGCCCGCATCCGCTACTGAATGAAGGATTCATTGTATGAAAGGCAGCGGCCAGAGGACTGTGTTATTGTTCAGGGCAATGCCATTTGTTGGGGAGTTGCGTTGAGAAATTTCTTCAGGTTCTGCGACCCAGGGCAACCAGTGCAGGGCCACAATTGCCACAAACAGTGCCCATTCCGCTGTTTGAATAAAAAACCTGCTGATGACCGATTCAAAATGTGAAGGGTGGATGCGAGCATCGTGGTGAGCATCGCAGCTAACCGCAACAAAGACAGATGGAGCACCAAATGCAACATATCCCTCCTTGAGCGGGGGTGGGCTCTGCATGTGCATCTGCATATGGATAAAGACATGGAAAGAATGTCGGCACCAAGGCTGTGACCAGCAACACCTTCCGCAGCGATCACAACATCCTGGAAATGCAAGAGCTGCAGGGACAGAATTGGGAGAACATCTTCTTATTCCTGTAGGAAGACGAAGTTGCTGTGCTTCAGCCCATGTGGGGTTGGTTGAAACCACGCATATGGGCAGACACAGCAGCATGGCGCACTCACAAAGATGTTCTTGACAGAAACAGTGGGAACTTGTACAGGAGTTGATGCCAGGTGATTGTAAAACGAAACAGCCACAGAGTGGAGGCAATCTGCAAAATTGCAACAAATTACACTGCAGCATACTGGTATACACTGTGCATTGCAATATTGTGACGACACAATTGTTGGTGAATATGAAGGAGACATGCACTTTGGTGAACAATTATTGAGTGAAAAGAGACGGTAACAAGGAGAACTGACAGGGCTTGACTCATGCCACACTACGCAAATACATGTTTGGGATTCACTTTGTAGCAGCATCTTTGATTGCCTTTTCCTGTTTCCCGCACATGCGGAGTTTGCTGCATGGACATACGGTGCGCATATGTGTAGCGTCACAAATATACTCCAGTATGTCATTGGTTTTGCCATGTTGCCCATTCTAGCTGCCAGTGTTGCATAGCCAAGCTCCTGTGACAAAGTCGTCAACATCGTGAAGTGGATGTTGAGATCCATGCCAATTCACAAAACTCAATGATTGTCAACGTGTAAGCTGCACTGGTTTTTGTTAGTCAGCAGTCTACGTGTCAGTGCACTACATTTGCAGCGCAATCAAGTCGTTCTCAGAAGCCTCTTAGGTCATAGCTAGCTAGCTTTCAGTGATCCAAACAAATCCTGTTTGCTGTGCATTCATGAGCTGATCGACGACAAGAACTGCTGCGGTTTGTTTACGAAGTTCAGGATAAAGCTACCCAATCCAGGTGAGCACAACTAGTGGACTCCACCGGTTTCGCTGTATGCTCACTGATACTCCCCACCAATGCATTGCTTAATGTTGATTGGTTTTTCAGTTGCACATTCAATTATTCAGTTCGATTATAACCTGCGATATGCAAATACAAGAAAATCAATCTATTGTTTTGTCCATGGTGTTCGAAATAAGCCATTTGGGGGTTGGCTTCTTGTTCCCCAATGGCACAGAAATGATCCTAGGAATGTTCAAAATATTTTGAGCAACCTCAAAGCATTGAAGATGCTGCATGGCTGTGCTGATTATTTTGTTTGGGTTCTCCTGCTTCTTCCTATTCACTAAAACTCACTGCACTGCATCCGTTTCTTCTGTGTGTTGACGTTTCATCACATTCTCACCATGGTATCATCCCATTTTTATGTTTTTATGTCAGTTTTTTTGCCATGCAATCGGATCCCTCAGGATGGACATGTTTCAAAGTGTACAGTCAAGCCAGTTGACCGCCAACCTCAGGTACCGTGTTGACACACGAGCGACAGGGGTGCGATGATGCCACCTGTGGTTGCTCTGCCTTTTATTCAGTTGTTTGCTTGGCATCATTCACAGGAGCACTGCCTTTGTATATCTGCGGCGCTGGGCAAAAAGGGCAGAAATTGCCTCACTCTGCCAATGGTCAACCGAATTATGGTAAATCTACTGTCTCCAAGGACAGCTAGATCCTGGAAACGAGTGCTTGGTGAAAACCTAGGGACTATTCATACAGTTCAGATGCCACTGGATACTGAAACTTGACCTGATTCAGACCTGCTAGCCCGTTCATCAATGGTGCCTCTGTCCACCCTTCCCTCCTGTCCCCCTTCCTCCTGGAGTGTGGGCACCACGCCATCCTGCTCTGTCATCACTGTCTGTCTTGATGTTGTTTCATCAGTCTGTTTCAGTCACCAAGAACCACACCATTATTAAAAATCTCACTATCACTATCAAGGCTTCCCTCAAAAAGCTCTGGACAGTGTCAATTCATCCACCACAGCTGCTTGTCTTGACAGCGCCTCATTTCCCTTCTCAACTCGCCAGAGACCACACAGAGAAACTCCTTGAGGTACACAACAATGGCAACAAGGCTTCTGCAAAGCTGGACTCTCCTCAACCCGTTCTGGTACTGGTTCGTTGTTGTGATCTGTTGTTCCCATCAAACCATTGATGTTCATGTGTTGTCTGCCACGAGTGGTGTCTGTACTATTATCCAGCTTCAGCCCCTGTATTGTGTCAGCAAGCAATTGAGAGCCCATTACCAGGACCCGCACCTTGCTAGGACATCAGTTCTTGGGCCAGTACATTGCATGTTGTGCCTGTTTCTTGACACATTAGAAACCAACAATGGATACAAGCTTCACAGTAGGCGCTGTTCCTGTTGCTGAATCCATGCCAATCCAGGTCCACCTCTGGCCTCCACACAGTCAACAATCAGGCACCCAAAGTGATGGAACATTGTAGTGGAATTCCCCAATAATCCTCAACAAGGCATTGTGGTGAGTTGCATGGTGTCAGACACACAGTGTTCATGCCCAAAAGGGGGCAGGAATGGGCATGCAGATATTCAGTGGCCATTTATTGAGGGATGTCAAGGTGTGGGATGTCCTGATGATGACAATGCTATTTGATTCCTTGTGTGGCTGCTCAAAACTAAAACAGTTGGGTGAAAGAAAGTCAAGACAAGCAACAATGGTTGAGAGGGTAGAGAAGGTGACTGTGCTTCAAACCAAGATGGCCAACATTGAGGGCAACCTGGAGGTCTAGAGCATGCACTTTTGAGTTAAGACCTTGGATCGGTTGCCTCACTTACTTGTTGTGCAACAACATACGTTGGCAAAATGCATTGAATTAGAAATGGACAAATAATAATGCTGCCATTAAGCACAGTCCAGGATGCTGCCTGTCATCGTTCCTTGTGAGCAGATCCCAGTTGCATGGTTGCACGTGTGCAACAGTAGTGAGCATTGTCCAATTTGCTATATGCACCAAGGCAAGGCATACAAACAGGAGGTGGCATTGTCCTCCAATGTGCACAAAATACAGCACACCCAAACCTCTGTGGTACAAATCCTGGGTAACAGGTGTTGCAGAAAGCAACTTCAGTTGTAAAAATGGAACCAAAACAACCGCTCAGATGATATGTTTACTCATGCCAGTATCAAACCATAGAATACTTTGTTCATATCAATCGTTAAGTACATCACAGTTCACTTTGGATACTCAGCTTCGCTAGTCTGGCAATTCAACACGATTCAAACTTGAATCAGATTGCCCATTCTGAAGGGGCCACATGGCCAATTTTGCTACCAGTGGAAGAATACCGCAGCTGTAATCCCTCACCTCGCCAGCAGTGTGCTCCTCAAAGACCCACTCCGCAGGCAGTTGCAGCCAGGTGTTTTTCACCTCTTCCATAGTTGGCCTGGCCTCTGGCTCGATGGCGCAGCACCTCTTCATGAGCTCCAGAGCTGCTGGTGGGCAGTCTTTGGCGTGAACCTGGCACGGTGGCTCCCCGTAGAGCTTCTTCCTCATGATCACGTACTGGTTGACTCCCTGCCCTCCATACGGCTTCTGCCTGCTGATGAACTCGTAACACAGAATCCCACAAGCGTAAACGTCCGACTTGAAGCTGGCAGACTTCCCGTGGAAGAACTCAGGGGCAATGTACTGCAGCGAGTCACTGTTGAACCTCCCCATGCTGATCAAGGTATCGTCTTGGATTACTCCCTCAGTATCAAAGACATTGAAATCGCTGATCTTCAGAGGGTCAGTCTCTGGGTCAGTGCCGAACATGAGGAAATTCTGCAGCTTGATGTTTTGATGCATCCGCCCCTGAGAGTGTAAGAATGCAAGCCCTGCACTTCCCTCACGAAGCAGTCTGACCTTGGGGCCCCAGGCCAGCCCATTGTCAGCAAGGCACAGCGTGCGCAGGCTACAGTATGCCTGTTCCATTACCATCCACCCTGAGGTCGTGACAGCCAGGAGTTCGACAATGTGTGGTTGGTCATTGACGCCGGCATGAAAGATTATCTCCTTGATAAACTCCGCAAAGGACTCGATGTGCAGGTCGCCACCCTGCCCTGCATTCCACCTCCTGCGCATCTTCACAGCCACACTGACTGACCTCCACTTTGCCAAATACACTGCACCCTGACCATTGCAAACCTTGTCTCCCATCTGGAGCTCCTTCTCATCGATGACCTGTAACAGCCAGGGGACTGGTTGAGCAAACATTCTGGAGAAATAAAATGGGCTCACCATGTCGATGGCCAACACCTTGGAGGTGTTTGGGTGGCGCCTTGCACTTCAGCCGCTACTTCATGGTACTCTAGCCAGTCCTCTTCAGCACTACTGTACTTCAATCATCCCTTCCGTACTTCACTCAATGCCCCAGTATTTCAGTAGTCAGTACCACTTGGTGCGTCATTCATAAGTCAATGCCTCAGTCACTATTGCATGATAATGTGCTTTCTTGCAGTTTTGCAAATTGCAAGCAAGCAAACAGCACACCTTCACCAGCTTCATGCTCTCCTTGTGGTGCTCCTGGATGTCCTCCCAGCGACACATCAAATCCTGCCCAACACTGCATGGTATATCCTTCAGCACGAAATCCAGGAGCTTGAGAAAGAGATCCTCATCGTCTTGAATGTCCTCCCTTGGTATCTCATCCTGCAAATCTATCTCCCCTTGCCAGCCCCACAGCTGCAGCAACTCCTTCAGGCATGCACAGATCTTCTGCACAGTGTTGCAGGCATCCCTGGTTGAGTAGAAATCCCGAATGTCAAAGCAGGTGGCATGCTTCACAATCATGCACCTGCCAATCTCAAGCTGCTTGTCAAAGTCGGCCACCTGATTCGGTGTAGCACCAGCAGGCTTGTGCAAGCCCTCCAGCTTCTTCAGCTGGGCATCCAAGAAGTGCATGATCTTCACGTTGTATAATGCCCCTTGGCTCCTGGGCTGTTCCTGTTCACAAATGCCCTGCAGCCATTGCCAGTGAAGTGCTGTGAACACATCGTATTTGATCAGATTGCAAAAGCAGGGCAAACAATAGCCTTCCTTTGTGAGGCAATAATTTGGGCAGTTAACAAGCACAGGCATTCCCCAACGAACACTGGTTTACTCAATGCTGTTATGTGTCCATCCCCAGCCACCCCTTGGTCCACTTCCAGTAGACACACTACTCTGGATGGGTGACTGGGATCGACAACCACAATACCCCATCACAATTTGTTTCTAAGGTGAGCTGCAACAATATCGATTGCTATGCTGGGGCCCTCCCTATTGCCATTGTATGTCTTGGCTGCAAAAGGGGTGTTAGGGTGGGAAAGAAACCAACTGCACTCCACCTGATGGTCAAAGAATATTGAAGGGAGCCATATTTGCCAAGTCTCCACTGCTATCAAAATTCTGGTTCCATCATGTGGCAATACCACTCAGCAGTGTTCATCAACCTGAGACAGCTGAAGAATTCCAACACACATATTTTGCTTTCACAAAAGAGCCAAAAGCCTAAGAAGTCAAGTACATTTTAGCATTCAGTATGGGAGGAGCGTGAACAGTTGCTTCGTTCCAGTACAAGGCAGCTGTGGCAAGCAACAACAGCACAATCCCCAAGTACCAAGCAGATGTACCTGAGCTTACAGCAATACAGGGATTGGCTGTGGACTTGCCTCATAGCGTTGCTTCATTTCAGTGAGGCGCCTGCAAACATCTGCAATCTTGGGCCTTCCTTGAGGATCAACTTTGCAGCATTCTTTCATCAGCTCATGCATGTCTTTCGGGCAGTCGCTCTCTTCAATAACACAGGGCTCAACCCCGTCCAGTTTCTTCTTCATGATGCTGTGTTGATTGCAGTGGACTCCACCAAACGGCACCCTTCCAGTGATGACTTCATACATAACAATTCCGAAGCTGTACACATCTGAAGCGAGAGAAAGAACCTCGTTGTTGTACAGCTCTGGTGCTACATACAGAGGCGTGCCCTCTGGTCTACGGGCTGTGTTGCACCTGGTCATTGTGACTGCACTCGAGAGCCCAAAGTCAGCTATTTTGATGGTGCATGTTTTCGGATCAGTTCCAAACACTAGGAAATTGGAACTCTTCACGTCACAATGCACCATGCGAGGATCTCTACTGTGCATATACCTCAATCTTCTTGCTGCCTGCAGTAAGATCCCCAGCTGTGAAGGCCATTTCAGGCGATTTTGTTTGCAAAGAGTACTGAGATCCCCATCTGCCAGTTCCATTAGCAGCCAACCTGACTTGGAAATCCCAATCAATTTTGGAACATGCTGATCCCAGAGTGCACCCTGGATGAGTGCATCCTTCAAAAGGTCTGCCTGACATTCAATCTTTGTCTTCCCAACCACATTGCTCAATCTCTTCACAGCTGCCCGCTGTCCATTCCAGCTGCATTCATGAACAGCACTAAATCCACCCTCGCCGACAAGCACTCCTTCGTTCACATCTTCATCGTCCACTTCATCCAAATGTTGCATACGATCAAGATGCCCCTCCCTACAGCTCTTCCATTCATTGGGTACATCACGATCTCCTGCACAATTTCCCATGAGAACATATTCGAGCATCTGGGACAATTCTTCTCTGTCTTTGTCAACTGCTGCCTGTGGCACTTTCGTCTCAACCTTGAGCTTGTCCTCCATCTTCCACTCTCTTGCAACGTCAAAAAGAGGGTTGCATACGTACACCTCTGTGAAAGTTCTTGCTTCAACACTCTGGTAGAATGTCTGTATGTTCACATCCTTTCTATGCTTGTCAATGAGCCTCTCTCCAATTTTCACAGCACTTTCCAACTTACTCAATGTCTCCTGCGTCGCCCCAAGCGGACTATCCAAATCCTGAAACTTTTGCAGTTGCTGGTTAAGGAAGCCCATTATTCTCTTATTGTATTTTGCGTCCAACAACTCCTCAAATTTCACGGTTTTCTGCAGAGCAACAGCAAAATTTCAGGTGTCAGAGTCCAACTCATGCAGGCAGTCAAGCATGTGCATGATGGTGACCTTTGGCCCAGTGAAGGGGTGTAGATGCCATGAACGTGGACATGCACTGAACTGGGGATGCCGTTTCGAGCATCTCCAAGTACCGATCGACAATACCACTGACAACTGGAGAAGCATCAGTGTTTATAGCTATCAGGGCATGTCAGCCAGCATGTGGATGCCTACATACGGCTATGTTGTGCTTCATGTTGAATTCCTGATAACATCAACTGAACAATTGCTGGACAGGAGCATAACTCACTGAACATGGTTGTTCGCGGCAACCAAGCACACCCAGCCTTTCCTTGTTAGCCCATTGCCACGACTCTTCTGGCAGGATGCCTGACAGAGGCCACTCCCACAATCAAGAAAAGAAGATGAAGGGTTCCAAATTCAATGGTGAGTGCAATTGCCAGTACTGCTCTGTCAGCAGCATTTGTGGAAAACTCAGAAGCACATGGAGCTTGTGATGCCCCACAAGCAGAGGAAATCGTCTTGTGCCAACATTGCCATACAAAATGTGACAGACTTGCAATTGTGGTGTACTGATCAAGTGCAATTTTACCTTTGATGGGGCAGTCTTGGGAAGGGCATAAGAATGCAGCAGCTTTGTCAGTCGCTGACAAACGATCTCCACTGATGTTGGCCTTTTTAAAGGGGTGTCGGAACAGCAGTCCGAAATGAGCGTCATCAGCTCCTTGGGGCAATTCTCAGCCAAGGCCCAGGGGGCATGCCCCTCTTTCTTCAGCTCCAAAATCTTCTCCCTTGGGACATTGCCATATGGCTGAGCTTCAGAAATCAGCTCATGGATGACAATACCAAAGCTGTATACATTGCTTTGAACACTGAGTGGCTTCCCAACCAGTACCTCAGGAGCCACCCACGCCACCTCATCAGTCACTGGCAAGACGTTCCCTCCTGTGATGTCTTCAGGATCTTCCAGGTCAAGGCTGCTTATTTTCAGCTCCACGTTTTCAGGGTTGTCAGGATCTTCTTTGAAGACTATGAACTTTTCGGCCCTGATATCACAGTGCACAAAGCCTCCATCATGTGCCTCCATCAGTGCCATTGCAGCCTTGCAAAGGAGCTGTAGCTTCAGTCTAAGGTTCCAAGATCTGTGGCGCTTGTACCAGGACATCATGCCACACTTTCCGAGCTCCATCATAATCTTCCCTGACCAGGTAATCCTGTAAGGTCTGGTGATACAGGGAGAGTTCACTGATGCAGCAGCACTGACCTTGGTGTATAATCGGGCAAAAGTCTCAGCGTCTAAATCGCTGCCATCCTCATTTGCGGCCCAAATCTTGACTGCCACACTGGAACCCTTCCAACTGGCTGCATACACAGTATATGACAAGGATCGTCCCACAGAGACGTCCTTGTCGGCGGCTAGAAGCTTCTTCAAGCGTTTGCTGTGCTCACGCTTTGAGAGCCTCAGCTCCTCAGCAACAAGTCCAGACATTCCATCGCAGGTGCACCCCTCTTTACCCAGAATGTAGCCCAAGGCCCGTTGCAGCATCCTCCGGTCATGACACACATCTTGTTGCGGTACTCTGTCACTGAGGTCCAAGGTTTGCAACCCCCCCTCTTTCAAAAACAACCTGAGAGCACCAAACACCTCTTTCATGATGAGCTCCACCTCACCAACAGTGTAGAACTTGTTGACATTGAGCGCCTGGGTGTGGCAAGTTATGAGTGCCTTCCCCTGGCACACAGCTGTGGCAAGTGCTTCATAAGCTGTTCTTCTTGCTGTCCCTTCATCTGCTGTCTGAGCGTCTGTCAGCAATTGGGAGACGCCATCACATGAATCGATCTTTTCCAGCTGCCGTTTTAGATGTGCCAGGCTCTTTTGGTTGTATCTCAAGCCACCCTGCAGCATGCAATGGGACAAAGCCAGTGAAAGATGTCCACAGCCAGAAAAGGTGTGATGTGTTCTCAGCCCATGCCAGAGGCACAAGGGCAGCACTGATTCATGATGCTGCAGCGACTCCCACAAATACGATTTGTCCCCATTTGTCACTTGCTAAATGCTGTGTCATCTTCCCCCGTAGAAATTGAAACATTGTGCAGACAGGGGACCAGAGCAAGAAAACATTGGCAGCGTCATGCAGACTGCGTATCAGAAGCACGTCATGTGCAACAACAAGCAAGAGGGCTGTCACCACTCTCCCTGCACACACATTTGCGCGGGTGTATCCATCCACACAAGGTCACTGTTCCACACATGCAGCGCCACGTCATGGTATGCTCTCCAGCCAGTGAAATGAGAATTTGAGTTCGGCCACAAGCCATTTACGCTGTGCCTGGAATCGCAAGCATCACAGTCCCTGCACCAAGCACTCACCACCAACAAGGCCACCAGACAGCAAATGCAGATTTTTCACTTTTGCCCTCCACAGCCGTTCACATTGCGCGCCAAGGATTGCAAACCACCACGACTGCCGCGCTGGGTACTCACCGTAAAGGACGCAAAGAGTGCCGCTCCATCCTCAGGGTAGAAATGGCGAAACAGGGACGCCATCGGGACATCCCCAGTTCGCGAACTGCAGCCAGTACACTTGCCATCAGCGTCAACACACATACCAACGCCCAATAACAACCCTACAAACTGCCAACAGTGCCTGCAAATGTCGAAAGTTTATACCAACAAACGTCGTCGCTACCCTGTGGATTCACCACTTCGTGGGTATTCACGTTGACTTCCCAAGGCATTCCATCAGCTCTTAAGGCAAACAGCACCGGCAGGCGATCCGGGCTGATGAGACGCCGAATCTCCCTCACTTCCGCCGTTGGCGCGAGGACACAATTCAGCTCCACGCACTCATACCGCAGGATGGCACGATGGATTCCCCACCCTGGATCTGTCGCTCCGACACGGAGTGACCTCTTCGAAACCAAAAAGGCGACACGCGTCCCGATTTCGGCATACACGCTGTGTTCGCACCAGATATGTCGCGTTGCTGGAGTTGACCGCGCCTCCGCCTCTGTCCGTGCCCAGCGCCCCCGACCGGGCCTTCAAGCGTCGCTCCCCGCAACCTCAGACGCGCCGCCGAATCTGAAGACAAGGCAATCAACCCATTACTGCCCAAAACACGGCGGACGCGCAAGGCTTGCTTGAAGAAAATAGCCCCCCCGTCGTTTGCAACCAGATCTGCTTGGACGCACCGGGGGGGGAGGGGGGGGAGCGCACTCCGGCGAACTCCGAATCGCCAGCGGCGACAGCGGCGCCTGGTGACTTAGCACCGGGGCCTCTGTCCACCGAGATGCCTCTCTTCCTTCAAGATGTCGAGCCGTTCGACGCCCGCGCTGCTGGTGAACCCCAGGGAATGACGGTGCCGACCCAGCAGCGCCGGGACTGCATCCAGGGACTGGAGGAAGCCGAGCCCCAGAGGAAACTGGAGAACCGGCAATACCCGCCCCAGGATGTACAGCAGGGGTCCCTATATAGCGCCCCCCTAATAACGCCCCCGGCCCCCAATAGTGCCCCCTTTTCTGGCTTGTCACCATTTTTGTAGTACTTTATGCAGCTTCGCTAGGCGCTGGGACCTTAGGCAACTATTGCGGACAACCAAACACACCCAAGAGAGGATACCCGCCCCAGGATGTACTCCCTTCGCCTGCGAGGCAGTCAAGTCCCGGGCGTCTTTCCGAGTGAGTGATCACGCTCGATGGGCCGCTGACAAATGAGCGCATTGGGCAAACCACCCCCCACACCCGGGCATACAACAACTGGCTGCGCAAATCCAATATCGGTGACTCTCCAAATCGGTGACTTTCTGCACTAAAACACTGACTGCTTGCACCAACTCCCTCCAAAACTTACCTAACCTGAAACCTAAACCCTAAAACCTGAAACTAAACCTGCCCTAAACCTAACCCTTACCCTAAAACTCACCCTGAAACTAAACTTAAACCTAAAACTGAGGTTAGGGCATAGGGTGCACGTGATTTGGTGCAGGCAGTCACCGATTTCGTGCAGGCAGTAATATTATTTGGCACACCCATGGTTTACCCGAATTCAGGGGAAAACATGGCTGCGGCGGACACAATTTGGGACAATCAATTCCAGCCCAGCTTCAAAGGCCGAGACAATTAGCATTTGCTAAGAGCAATATGCTGCAACCGTGCTCTGGTGAACCCTCGCCCGGAACCTTGCCAGCCCCTTAACAATGCCGTGCAGGCCTCAGGTTCTGATCTTGTCCCAGGGCGGTTTGTTTCAAGACAACGCCACATATGTGTGTGACAAAATAAGCGCTGGTCATAACGTTTCCCTGCACTCAATGTGGGAAGCATTTCGACACAGAGTGACTCATCAGGTGACACAACGCCATTCAGCACTCGCCACCAGAATAGCG